GAGTAAAAAAAAACTAGTGACCGGTCAGATTCCAGTTCCAGGGAGGAGAGTAGAAAAGACACAGAGGGACCGGTGTGCTCACAGCTCTCGTGCAGCGACACACGTTATCATGTAGAGTCTCCACAGCAGGACGCACACACGGCCTTCTTTCACCTAGCCAGTTTTGAAGTCCTGGATCTCAATCCCCAAAGTCATAATCTTATCTTCTCCAGCGAGTGGAGGTAAATATACAATAGGAAGGGGATTTCCACAAATGAAACCTCCTTAAAGTAAGTTCTAAAAACACTGTGATGGCATTCAGATTTCCCAAAATCCTTGTATCTAATATGGTCGAACTCTAATCAGAAAAAAGAATCTTACTTGAATTGCAGAATCTTCACGATGTCTTAAAATAGGTGATCTTTACGGTACACTCTGAAGTTGAAGCTGATACGTGAACACCCCTTCAGCATATGATTTGATATTGTCAAAATGAATGAAAAATAAGAACTCTAGTAAGTTTGGAGTACTATATTTTGAAATGATATTAATATAATCTTGCATGATCGATTATCTTCTCCTACTTAATAGATTCCACTTCACCTTAGGACAGGGCTTTTCCGCCTCAGCCCTATTCACATTTTGAACTGAGTAATTCTTTGTCGTTGGGGGATGTTCCGTTTATTGCAGGATGTTTACCAGTATCCTTGGCAATCCTTAATCTTACTTTCTGCCGCTATGAATTTGCCTGTGCTGGAAGTTTCATATAAATTGTATGCAATAAGTGACTTTTGTATCCGCCTTCCTTCATTTAGTATGTTTTCAAGGTTCATCTGTGTTGTCACATTTAAGAGTAGTTCATTCCTTTGTATGACTAAATGATGCTCGTCATGTGACTGTACCACATTTTGTTCCTTCACTGAACTGATGAGACATTAGGTTGTTTCCACTTTCTGGTCATCATGAATAACGCTGTTGTGAACATTCATGTGTAAGTTTTGGCGTGGACATGTGTTTTCTGTTTTGTGTGTAGACACCTAGGAGGAGAAGTGCTAAATGGATACCTTAACCTTTTGAGGAATCGCCAAACCGCTTTCCACAGTGGCTGCACCATTTTCCAATCCCATAAGCAACATTTCAGAATTCCGATTTCTCAGAATTATTGCCCATATTTGTTATCATCTGTCTTTTTTATAACAGCCATCTGAGTGGGTGTGGCTATCTCACTGTAGTTCTGATTTGCTTCCCACATGATTCATGTGATTGAGCATCGTTTCCTGTGCTTCTTGGCCATTTGTATATCTTCGGAAAAAGATCTGTTCAAATCTTTTCC